TACCTTTAAAAAAAAGTTAGACTCTGCAAGGATGGACATGGAAGCCCAAGGTCGAGGCCTAGTTGAAAAAAGGGCTCAAAGTGTTATTGAATCAAAATGGGCCTGCTCCTCGTGAGTTACAGACAGAGATTTTACCAGGTGGAGTTGCTGTACAAATAAACCATCTTTATTTGTACAAATAAGGAGATCACAGGGAATAATTTCCAAAGCTGTGTCTCCCCAAAGGAAGAAACACAGGCTCCTTTAGGGCATGGGTGAATATTCAGAAGGGGATTTTAACATTATAATGAGGCGGAAGTCACTGTTGGTCACTCCTGGCACTTTCTGATTCATCTGGGCAGGCTCTCCCTCAAATGTTTCTTTTTCTGGTCCAGTAGTTTGTTAGCTTGTTTCTAAAAGGTAAGACTGATAGCTAGACAAAAGCTTCAAGGAGTTTAGTTTCTACAAGAAAGATTGACAGTTAAGCAGAAGCTTCTACTAGAAATGTGCTGAGTTCGGGGGTCAGGCCAGTGACAAGAGGAGCCTAAGTATAGTTGAGTCAGGGAGAGTGTTTGTCACTAGTTATCTATATTGTCTATTTACAACTTTTGGATAATTGTTTCTTATCATATTGAGCCCCTGACTGAAGGGAGGACATGAGCATCTGGAGACAAGGAATGGGGTTTTCTATAATGCTTATGATAATATCCAACTTCTCTGTTAGCCTACTTGGCCTTCATGACCTTTTGGCCAGCTTGACCCCACTTCATACTCTCCCATGTGCCCCAGTGAGCTAGCTGCCTTTCCTCAACATGCTTAATCTGTCTTCACTCCCACTGCCATGCCCAGAGAAAGCCCTCCTCTACCTGAGCTGCTGGATGCAGCAGAGAAAAAAACAAAGTATCCGTTCTTAAGAAGCTTACATTGCAGTAGAGAAAGACCTAGAATAAACAAAATTATTATATGTTGGGAGTGATAAGTACTGTGACAAAAAATAAAGCAGAGAAAGAAAGGTAGAAAGAGATGCAGGTGATGAGGAAGGCCTCTCAGGATGTGCCTTTTGAGCAGAAATTTGCAGAGAGGGAGCAACCAGGTAAAATATCTGGGGCCAGAGGGCTTCAGGGAGAGGGAAGAGCAAATACAAAGGCCAAAGGAAAGTCAAAAAACAGTATGGCTGGAACTGAGTGAGAGGGACTAATGCCAGTGTGCAGAATGACCCCAGTGAAGAGGACGGTGTTGGGCTGAGGTGTGGTAAGATACGGCCTGCTATCCGAGGATGCCCTGGCTGTCCTATGGAGAGTTGACATTAGAGTGCAAGAGCGAAGCAGAGAGAACAGTTGAGAGGCCACAACAAGGCCCCTTGACTAAACTGGGTGGCAGCAAGCCAAGTAGTGAGAGCGAGTTGAATTCTGGATACATTTTGAAGGTGGAGCCAACAGGATTCATTGTTGTCAACAAACCTTGTAGAATTTCTTTAAAAAAAGAAAGAAAGAAAGAAAAAAGGAAGAGGGATGCCTAGGTGGCTCAGTTGGTTATGTGTCTGCCTTCCGCTTAGGTCATGATCTCAGGGTCCTGGGTTTGAGTCCTGCATCGGGTTCCTTGCTCAGCAGGGAGCCTGCTTCTCCCTCTGCCTGTTGCTCTCCCTGCTTGTGCTCTCTCTCTCCTCGTCTCTCTCTCTGACAAATAAATAAAACCTTTAACAAAAAAAAAAAAAAAAAAAAGGGAAGAGACTTTTATTTGAGCCCAAGGACTGGAATTGTATCAGGATACATAATCTTCACAAAGAAGAGAGTGCTCCAGGCAGGGCTATATATGTTTTAACACAGAGTTACAAATCAGGAGCTTGGGACTATGGCAGAGTAGGAGGACCCTGAGCTCACCCCATCCCACGTTTACAACTAGAGATCTTCCACATCCAAGTCAATAAACCAGGAAGTGATCCAAAGACTGACCAGACAAACTCCACGACTAAATATGGAGAAGAAGCTGCATCTCATAGGTTAGGAAGGTCGGAAAGGTGGAGGGAGACTGTCCCCAGGAGGGCACACATGGAGAGGACAGAAAAATGGGCCTTCCCGTCAGGGAGCTCACACGGGTAATACTAAACCCCATAAAACTTGGCTTTAAAAAGCAGAGGGGCTGAAATCCATGAGTTTGTAAAAACAGTTGGGACTTGGAGGCTGGAGCTTTAAAAATCTGCTGACAGGGTCGGCCAGGAGTGTGAGTGATAGCTGGGTTGCACCCCTTAAAGAGATAGCAGTCCACATGGAAGGCAACGTAAGAATGGCAGTTCACACGGTGCCAGGGGGCAAATGGGAGACAGACCTATTTGTAATGATTTTGGAGCATGTTGGGGGACTTCTCTGAAAACAAGGGAGCTGGCAGGTGTCGTTTTCCTCCCCCATCCCCCACCATAAACACAGGGACTCTGCGGAAGGATTTAACAGACCTATGTAGAACATTCCATCCTAAAAGAGCAAAAATGAACATTTAGGATGTCACCAAGATAAAAAGCTTCTGCACAGCAAAGGAAACAGTCATCAAAACTAAGAGGCAACCCACGGAATGGGAGAAGATATTTGCAAATGACACTACAGATAAAGGGCTGGTATCCAAGATGTATAAAGAAATTATCAAACTCAACACCCAAAAAGCAAAGAAGCAAAGTGATCCAGTCAAGAAATGGGCAGAATACATGAACAGACACTTCTCCAAAGAAGACACCCAAACGTGGTGCTGGGAAAATTGGACAGCCACATGCAGAAGAATGAAACTGGATCACTTTCTTACACCATACACAAAAATAAGCTCAAAATGGATGGAAGACCTAAATGTGAGACAGGAAACCCTCAGAATCCTGGAGAACACTGGGAACACCTCTTTGACCTAAGCAGTAGCAACTTCTTAGTAGACACGTTTCCAGAGGCAAGGGAAACAACAGTAAAAATAAACTATTGGGGCTTTATCAAGATAAAAAGCTTCCGCACAGTGAAGGAAACAATCAACAAAACTAAAAGGCAGCCTGTGGAATGGGAGAAGATAATTGCAAATGATATATCAGATAAAGGGTTACTGTCCAAAATATATAAAGAACTTATTAAACTCAACACCCAAAAAACAAATAATCCAGTTAAGTAATAGGCAGAAGACATGAATAGACATTTTTCTAAAGAAGACATCCAGATGGCTAACAGACACATGGAAAGATGTTCAACATCATTCATCACCAGGGAAATACAAATCAAAATCATGATGAGATACCACCTCACACTGCTGTAATGGCAAAAATTAACAACACAAGAAACAAGAGATGTTGGTGAGGATGTGGAGAAAGGGGAACTTCTTTCACTGTTGGTGGGAATGCAAGCTGGTGCAGCCACTCTGGAAAACAGTATGGAAGTTCCTCAAATAGTAAAAATAGTAATACCCTACGATCCAGCAATTGCACTACTGGGTGTTTACTCAAAGGATACAAAAATACTGATTTGAAGGGGTTCATGCGCCCCGATGTTTATAGCAGCAATGTCCACTGTAGTCAAATTATGGAAAGAGACCAAATGTTCATGTGTTCAACTACTAATGAAGGGATAAAATGAATAAAGAAAATGTGATATATGTATCTATATATAGATATTACTCCGCCATCAAAAAGAATGAAATCTTGCCATTTGCAACAACAGGATGGAGCTAGAGTATATTATGCTAAGTGAAATAAATCAGTCAGAGAAAGACAAATCTCATCACATCATTTCCCTCATATGTTGAATTTAAGAAACCTAACAGGTAGGGAGAAGAAAAAAAGAAAAGGAGTGAGGAAGAACAGACTCTTTTCTTTTAGAGGGAGCAAGAGAGAGCACAAGCAGGGTGAAGGGCAGAGGGAGAAGCACACTCCCCGCTGAGCAGGGAGCCTGATGTGGGACTCCACCCGGGGAGACCGGGATCATGACCCCAGCCGAGGGCAGATGCCCAACCAACTGAGCCACCCAGGCGTCCAGACTCTTTTTCAAAAAAAATTTACTTATTTATTTGAGAGAGAGCAAGCACACACGAGCGGGGGGAGGGCAGAGGGAGAAGTAGACTCCCCACTGAGCAGTGAGCCCCAGGGTTTGGGGGGCTCCATCCCAGGACCCCGTGATCATGACCGGAGCCTCCCAGGAGCCACAAAGCTAACTGCTAACTATAGAGAACAAACTGAGCGTTGCTGGAGGGTAGTTGGGTGTGGGGGATGGGTTAAGTAAGTGATGGGTATGAAGCAGGGCACAGGTTGTGACGAGCACTGGGTATTATATGTAAGTGAGAAATCACTAAATCCTACACCTGAAACCAATATTACTCTGTATGTTCACTAACTGTAAGTTACATAAAAACCTGGAAGAAAAAAAAAAAAATCCATGGGGACAATTAGATCACTCGAGAAGAGATAAAAGAGAGTATTTGGTCTTGATTCCAATCCATGGGGACTCTATATTTTTGGGGTACAGTGGTTGAGGTTCCAACAAAGGAAAGGAGGAGCGAATGAGGAAGAGTATGGAGAGAAAGATCTACATTGTCAGATGTTGCTCTGAAGGCCAAGAGGTCGCAGCAAATGACTTTGAGAAGCACCATTCCAGGGGCTTGACGGAGAGGAGAGCTCCTCTGGAGTCATTTGAAGAGAGCATGGGAAGTGAAGAAGAGTTTCCGAAGACTTTTGATGCCTCAGAGGGAAGCGTCCACAGCTGGATGGTTCTAGAGGCGTCTAGGTGGTTTTTGAGGTGGCTGATTCTGCACACGTGTTTGCACGTCGGTGGCAACTGAGAGGGAGAAATTGCTGGTGAAGTACACACCAGGGCCCGTTGTGGAGGCGACACCCCTGAGCAGGCTGGAGGGGCTGGGGTTGGCACACGTACATTGCCCCATCAAGCGCAGGGACTCGCGAACACACGCCACCGCCCCCGGCTTCCCCGCAGCTCCGCGACACGCGGGGGCGATTCCTGCGGGAACTACGCCTCCCGGCAGGCGGTGCGCTCGGCGGCCAGTGCGCAGGCGCGCGCCGCCAGCCTCGGCCTGTCCCTTCCCAGCCGCCGGGGCCCCTGCTCCCGGCTGGAGCCACCGAGGCGGAGGGGGACGGGTTCCTCTTAAAAGAGAAACGGCCGCGGAGCGCGCGAGGTGGGCCCCCGTCCTCCCGCCGCTCTCCGGGCCTGCGCGCGAGGCGGGAGGGGGCGCAGGCGCAGTCGGGCTGGGGGCGGGTGGGGGCTCGCAGGTAAGGCCGGGTGGGGGTGGGCCGCGGCGGGCGCTCCGGGCGGCCTGGGGGCTGCCCTTGGAATTGGCCTGACCGACGCACAGTGAGCGTTAAGTGGGGCGGCCCGAGACGGGGTGGGGGCGCCCTCCAGGCCCCGGTCCCACCCGCATTCACCCCGCTATGAAAAGCGCCCCCAGTAGACCGCAGCTCCCCTTCCCCCGTCAACCAGTAAAGGCACTAAAGGCCTCGCTCTCTTCAAGGTGGAACTGTTACCCACCCCTCGCCCAGCCCCGGTTGAAATTTCTCCGTGAGAGCCTCACGCCCCTTCCCCACAGCTCGCGCTTCTGCACTTCAGTATGCTCGGGTCGGGCCACTGTTCTGACTTTGACCCTGTCTCCCTGCCTCCCCCTCCACCGCGCTGCTGCCCGGTAACGTAAGCTGGGGTGGTTCGGGCCCAGGGGCAGCGGATGCTGCTGAAATGACTTAGTCTTGCTCCCAGGTCACGGATGGCGGAAACTGAGGCCGCAGCGGCGGGTGGAGTCGGGGTCCCGGGCCCGAGACGAGGTCCGCCCAGACGCGTGTCTCCTCCACCCTGCAGGTCCTGGTGCCCATGGCTTCCTCCCCGGTGGACGCATCTCGCAGGCGGCAGGAGAAGCGGCGGCAGCTGGACGCGCGTCGCAGCAAGTGCCGCATCCGCCTGGGCGGCCACATGGAGCAGTGGTGCCTCCTCAAGGAGCGGCTGGGCTTCTCCCTGCACTCGCAGCTCGCTAAGTTCCTGTTGGACCGGTTAGGGGCCGGGGCGGGGCGCTGGGGGAGGGCACCCCCAGGTTGCAGCACCCAGTCCCCTCCCTGGGTCAGGTGCGGGCCCCCTGACCCAGGGGTGTCTCATTTCAGCAGAACAGCCTGTGTGATTTGTGGCCTCTCCGGGTCCCTTGCCCTCCCCTTGGTCTCCAGCGAATAGGGGGTCCGAAAGTGTGTGCGTGCTGAGAGCCGAGGGCCGTTGGCCAGGCTCCCTACCTAAACTGCCTCCCCTCTCCCCCACCCCCTTTCCCCTCGCAGATACACTTCTTCAGGCTGTGTGCTCTGTGCAGGTAGGTAGGAAATAACTAGAGGTTGGGGGTCAGGAGCCAGGGAGGGAAGAGGGGCATCAGGGAGTCATGTGGCCCAGAAGCACCCTCTTGAAGGGGATTGGATCAGAGGGGACCCTGAGTGAGTTTGGAAAAAGGTGGGGTATAGTTGGGGAGCCCAAGGTAGTTTGATGGGGGCAGCCTGTGGACAAGAGAGCAATGTCTCAGGACCTTGGGGGTTCTGGGCTCTGAAGAATGGTAAACTGAACTAGGGACTGGCCTTGCCCAGGGGGTTGGGGGACAGGGCTGTGAGGCCATGAGGCCGTGGTCCCAGGGTGAGAGTAGGAGGCTTCCCAGCTTGCCCTGACTGTTGCCTTCACCACTTCAGGTCCTGAGCCTTTGCCCCCCAAGGGTCTGCAGTATCTGGTGCTCCTGTCTCATGCCCACAGCCGAGAGTGCAGCCTGGTGCCGGGGCTTCGGGGGCCCGGGGGCCAAGATGGGGGGCTTGTGTGGGAGTGCTCTGCAGGCCACACCTTCTCCTGGGGCCCCTCTTCAGGCTCCATATCTCCAGAGGAGCCCAAGCCAGTGTCCTGTCCGAATACTGCCCGGAGAAGCTGGTGCCCGGAGGCCAGGAGCAGGTCGGAGCCTGCAGGTAGGCTGCAGGAAAGAAGAGTTGTGAAGAAAAGCGAGGGAAAGTGGCTCCCTCTCTGTAGCTTAGAACTCCATTTTCTAAAAATTATCCTCAAATATATATATATATATATTTTTTCCCTCAAATATATTTTTAGGCATAAGAAGCAAAATACAGAATAAGATGTATGTTGTGTTACCATTGGTGGAAAAATAAGGAGAGAAAGAATATATATATACACACACATATATATATTTATTTATGAATGTATAAAATATCTCTGGAAGGGCATGTAGGAAACCAGGTTCTCTGTGGGAAGAACTAGGTGATTGGGGGACAGTATTGGAAAAGAGACTTTTCAAAGTGTACCTTTTTATACTTTTGTTTTTTGAACCATGTGAATGTATCATCTCTAAAGTAAAATACCCCTTCCCATCCCAGTAGGATCTGCACCCTCTTCCTTCTTCCCCAGAGTCCTCCCACCACTTCAGACCTTAGAAGTATACCTGTCCTCATCCCCCAAGCCCAGAGTTCCTTCCCCTTTGACCCTACCTGTGCCAACAGGTTTGGAATCTGAGCATGATGAGAGGACTCAGGAGGCCAGGTTGCCCAGGTGAGGTTGGGGGTGGGAGGGAAAGGATAGACTTGGGTGAACAGTGCAGGTGAGGGAGCAGAGCCTGAGGCTTCCCTTCCTTGGTCCAGCAGGGAAGTGGGACCCCTACTGGAGACCTTCCCAACCCCAGGAGAAGAGGGGGAGGAGGAAGATGAGGATGAAGAGGAGATGCTCAGTGATGCCAGCCCATGGACCTACAGCTCCTCCCCAGATGAGCAAGTTGGGGTTGTGGGAAGATGTTGAACAGAGCAGGAGGAGGGAGCAGCTGGTCAGGGATCCCGAGCTTTCCAGACTCAAGGGAAAGGCGTATTGGTGGGGAAGGCAGAAAGAATTGGAGGCTTTCAATTGGGGAAAGGGGATGAAGTTAGGCTTAGGGGAGAATGAAAGCTGAAAGCAGGTGTGAACAGAGATCCTGGGGTATGGGTAGGGTTGTTCTGAGTTTGGGATTCTTCACAATTTAGGGGCTGGGGTTGGGTTGAAGGCTAGCTGAGAGCCCAGGGAGATAATGCCCTCCTCTTTCTTCTCTTTTCAGCAGTGATCCAGATGCCCCCAGAGTACTTCCTTCCCCTGTCACCCATGCACTTGAAGGGGAGACACCCCCGGCCCCAGCAGCTCCCCTCAATCCTCTTGCTGTACCATCCTCATCAACGTCATCATTGGGTTCTGGAGCTCTTCTGTCTACGGAAGTTGGGGTACAGCCGGAACTCAGAGGGACCCCTCAAGCAGCCCAGCAGACTGAGCCCCTGGCCAGGTAACCTGATGGCTGAGACAGAGGGCAGGGGCATCCCGGGACATGGCCCTCCCTCGAGGCCCTCTGCTCCCTCTTTGCTGCCCGTAGCCCTGGGAGTCAGGCCCAGTCTGCTCTGACCTTGGCCTGGGAGGAGGACACGGCACAGATCGGCCCCAAGAGAATTAGGTAGGCCTGGGGGAGGGGGGGCCTTGGGGAGGGGAGTGAGAGGAGGGGGCTGAGGAGAGCCTGTGGGAGTTCTTATGTTCCTGCCTATCCTCCTCCCCCAGGAAAGCTGCCAAAAGAGAGCTGCTACCTTGTGACTTCCCTGGCTGTGGAAGGATCTTCTCCAACCGGCAGTATTTGAATGTGAGGACGTGAGGGGCATAGATTGGGTTCTGTGTGGCCTCAGAGGTATATATGAGAAGGGCTTAAGGAGATGCTGAGGTGAAGGAGAAGCTGAAGCAAAGAAGCTTGGGGTGTGGGTGGATTTGGAGATAGGAAGAGAAGCGTTGGGGTGGACCTGCAGAGCTTACCTGCAGTTAAGAATCACTAAGCCAGACAACTGGTAGATAAGGCAGAAAAACAAGCCTCAGGTGCACAGCTGCTGTCCACCCCTGCTGGTTGCATGGGCCCTCCAAGGGTCATATGGGGATAACGATGGCATTCCTCAGGCTCTTGGAATGCTAGCAACTGTTCTAAGCACCTGATGTGGGTCAAGTCTTTTGATCTTCAAAACATCCCTCGGGAGTAGGTGCTGGTACTGTTCCTTCTGCAGATGAGGCAACTGAGGCACACAGAAGGCTAGTGGGTGGTAGTGCTGGGGTTCCAGAGTTCACCCTCCGCCGCCTGGCCCTGCTGGCAGGAGTGGGTAGTTCTAGAGCCAGAGGACCAGAAGATGCAGCCTCACTGCAGGAGAGGTTTGGGGCACAAAGAGGGAAGGGCCACGGCCCCCACACTTATCCAGAGCCCTCCCAGACCACGTCCTGAAGTTGAGGGAGAGCCCAGGCCAAAGGGATGGTGAAGCAAGGGTGTATGGGATTTGGGAGAGCAAACGGGTAGGAAAGCTCTGGGATGAGAACTTTAGTGGGGCTAGGCAAACACACAGGAGCCTGTTAATGAAGAAGACTGAAGCAGCCTCAAGCAGCAGTTTAACTATGGGAAAGTGGGATTATAGAAAAGGGGAAAGCCCATGCAGCTTATGGAGCCAGGATGTAAAATTAGGTCAGACAGGAGAACTATTTCCCAGACATACTCAGGGAGTGAAAGAACAGATTACCCCTAAAAGTGTTCCGGGTTGAGAGCATGCATGTGTGTCTGTGTATGTGTGTGTGTGTGTTTCCAAAGCAGATTTAGGAAAACGTCATATAATATGTACCCGTGATGAGCTATTAATAAAGTAGGCAATCTGGGCAATATTATTGTACATTGATATTGAAGAGGGTAATCATACCTACCCAAATTGTGTTCTCATTCCCAGCAGACAGCAGCTCCATGGTTAGGGAACCAGGAGTGTCACCAGAATGGCACTTTGTTCAGGGAACTGGGCTTTGTAAGGAAGGTTGTGGCAAAAATGTGAGATAATGCAAATCAAGGACAGAATAGGATGAGGGCAGAGGTTGGTGTCGGGATAGGAGGGGGTGCTTGCCTTCGGATGAGGACTGGCCAGGAGGATGTGAGCTGGTGGTGAGAGAACTGTTGTGGGGAAAGCGGGGGCAGAGGAGTCTGCCTGCTGGGCCAGCTCTGGTGGTTTCCCTGACACCACCTGTTTCCTTTCCTAGCACCACAAAAAGTACCAGCACATCCACCAAAAGTCCTTTTCCTGCCCAGAGCCAGCCTGTGGGAAGTCCTTCAACTTTAAGAAACACCTGAAGGAGCATGTTAAACTGCACAGTGGTGAGTGGTAGAGACGCCTCCTCATTTCCCTCCTGTGCGTGCTGTCACCTCCACCTATGGGTGCCCTCACTTCTCCATGTGGGTCCTGTCAGCTCCCCCTGGGGGTCCCTTCACCTCGCCTGTGGGATGACTCTCACCTCAGGTCTCTGTGTGGTGAGCACCTGCCTGCTTGAGACTGTTCTAGGTGCTGAGATACCACAGGGAACAGAGGGCAATCCCTACTTCATACGGCATCCACTCTAGTGATAACAGGGATATAGACATGTGAAAGCCCAGAAGGGGAAGGAGAGCATGAGGGAAGAGTCTCTGTGGTAGAAAGGGAAGGTCTCTAAGCAAAGACCTAAGTGAAGGGAGGAATGGAGCCTTGTCCACGTCTATGGGCAGCACTGGAAAGGCCCTGAGCTGGTGTCCGCGTGGCATGTTCCAGGAAGGGAGGGAGAGGAGGCCTGGAAGTTAGAAAGGGAGGAAAAGAGGTCAGACAGTGGTGGGGGCCTCCAAGACTACCATCAGCGTGGCTTGGCTTCTGGCCAGACGAGATGGGCAGCGACATAACTGACTTTAAAAGGAGCAAAGTGACTGCCATATGGACAAATGGGACTGTAGGAGCGTGCAGCGTGCGGGGAGAGCAGCCTTGACATGCTGGTCCAGTCGAGTTGGTCGGGGGGAGTGGCTAGAGGCTGATGTGAGCATGAAGGAGGAGGCAGGAGGCTGCTGTGAGGACAGACTGGCCACAGGTGGGTGGACAGGAGGGCGTCGAGGCTGACTTGAAGGATTCCAGCCTGAGCACCTGGGCAGAGGTGATGAGATTTCCTGAAAAGGGGGGAGAGGCGGGCTTTAGGAAAGGGACATTTTATTGGGACATGCTCATTTAGGTATCCCAGAAGATGTGACTCTGGAGTTCAGAGATGTTTGGGGGGAAAGAAATGTGTTCATCACAAGCACACGGGTGGTATTTGGAGTGAAGGTGGAAGCAGCTACATGGAGTGAGCGTAGGTAGAAAGGAGTTCTGAGCAGGGCAGGCGGGAAGGGCAGTGCCCACGCGGCCAGTGAGGCAGATGAAGACGTGGAGAGAGTGCTCTAGGGGGAGGGGAGGGTGGGTTGTGACAGTGCAACGAGACTGAGCAACATGAGGACAGGCTGCTGGACGTGGTGGGAAGCCACCTTTGACTAGATGACAAGGGAGGACAGCCAGAATGGAGTGAGTTCAAGGCAGGGAGGAGCTGGGGCAGTAGAGTGAGTATGGGCCCCTCTCTGGAGTGTTGCTGTGAAGACAAGTAGGGAAAGGGGGTCTTAGCTGGAGGGCTGTGGGTTTGGGGGTACAGATGGGAATGATCCCACTGAGAGAAGAGGCTTCCTGATGCCTAGGTTGGGGGTGGGGGGAACCTCCGGTGGGGGGGAAGCAGTGTATCTCTGCACAGCTGGAGGGGACTGCAGTGGAGCAAGGAATAGTCTCACACACGGGCACGGAAGCAAGTTGGCTGAGGGCTTGGGTGGGGGGACGACGTGGTTATTCTCCCCTGGCTTCTCTCCTTGGTGACTTGAAAAATGAGGTCCCTGCTGATGAGCTAGCAGAGAGAGGAGGTGGTGTGGAAAATGGCCTTCTGGGCTCCTGAGAGTGGCAGAGTGAACTGACCGAGAAAATGCAGAGGCTTATGGTGGGCCCTTGGGACCTGTGGTTGTGGATGAAAGGAGAGGCCGAGGCGTAGATGAACAATCCGTGGGTTGTGTTTCTGCTCCCCTTGCCACACCTCTGTATTCCTGGAGCAGGCCAAGAGTTGTGTTTACTTTGAGTTGGATTTTAACCGAACAGGTACAGCTAAGGGAGAGAGCGGCCAGTGAATTCGTGGTGTGAGCGAAGGCAGGCTACAAAGATGCCCTGGAAAGGGATCTGGGAGAGGAGTGTGGAGGGGGCAGTGGGAAGGCAGCGGGCTGCTGGGCTGGCAGCGTGGAGTCCCAGGCTTATCGTGGCAGGACACAGGAGGAGGCCCCTGCTGAAACTGCAGTTTCAAGGAGGTGCAGTGATGGGGCATGACCTGGGAGTGGTGGCTGAGAAGGGTGGGAGACCAGGTCAGTGAAGGTCAGGGAACAGCAATGTGGAGTGCTGGACGTGTAGGAAACAAAGCAGTGGCATGAGTAATGGCCGAGGAGAGGGCCTGGAGTCAGAGGTTTGGGGAATGTGGTGGTGTGGAGGTGGGCTCCCAAGGGGTGGTGAGACAGATGTCTCAAGGACGCCACGAGCCGCAGGGATGCCCCGTGTATGGGCTGCCCTGAGACTTGGGGGTAGAGGAGAGAGCCCATAGCAGGCCTGTGGCAGCTGCGGGGGAAGCGCAGAGGGCAGGTGGTTAGTGCTGGTAGGGAGGCAGGTCAGGGAACATGGAGCAGATTGACAGCCAGAGGGCACGGCTCGGGGCTGGGAGGGGTGGGATAAGCAGGTTGAGTCGGGGACAGTACTCCTGTGAGGGTTGACAGGTGGGCTGGGCTGAGGAGGGGCCGCGGCCTGCGGATGGATGCTGGGGTGACCCCTGTGAACCCGCAGACACCCGGGACTACATCTGTGAGTTCTGTGCCCGGTCTTTCCGCACCAGCAGCAACCTCGTCATCCACCGGCGCATCCACACTGGAGAGAAACCCCTGCAGTGAGTGTGGGGGCGCATGGTGGGAAGGTAGGGCTGCCAGGGGGACCAGCAAGACACAGCTGAAGGAGGGGGAGCCCCTGGGGAGGCTGAGGTGGGCTGAAGCCCTGCCCTTCCCCCCACTGTCCCTGGCTCAGGTGTGAGATCTGTGGGTTCACCTGCCGCCAGAAGGCCTCCCTGAACTGGCATCGGCGCAAGCATGCCGAGACAGCCGCGGCTCTGCGCTTCCCCTGTGAGCTTTGCGGCAAGCGTTTTGAGAAGCCAGACAGTGTTGCAGCTCACTGCAGCAAAAGCCACCCAGCCCTGCTCCCAGCCCCACAAGAGTCACCCGGCCCACTGGAGCCCTGTCCCAGCATCTCTGCCTCTGTGACCCCGAGGTCCGGTGAGGAGTCCAGGCCCTCTGTGGTTCCTCAGGCTCTGACTGTGCTCCCTCAGCAGTGAGCATTCCTGAGCTCTGAGGAGCCAGACCCTGGAGACTGAAGAGGAGGGAGGAAGAGAAGTGCCAGGTGCCTGGTCCCCAGAAACCAGGGTGACAGGGAGTGCAGGGTGGGGGCACAACACAAGCCAGGCTACTTTAGTCTTCCTCAAGGACAGAATAAACCCAGTATTTTACATGGACGTGTGTGGGCAGAGTGAGTATTTTGGCACCTGAAGCTCAGGAATCCTGATTCCTTCGGAAGCAGGCTCTGCTGGAATATGCCTGAGTGCACCATAGGTGTGGGCCGCGGTCCTCTCTCTGCAGGCCCCTACCTCAAGGACCCAGCTTTCTTTCCCAGTTTGCTTTGGCACTTTGCAGTCCTCCTCTGCGGACTGTCCTACCTATTCTTGCACTCGAGAAGGGCAGGCTGTGACATATGGGGAGCGCTGGGTCATTCCGGAGGGATTAGCTGGAACAGGAATGGTGGTATGTGAGCCTGAGCCACATTCGTACTCTGCATTGACCAAGAGAACCAAATGTATAGGCTGGAAGAGTCTTGCCTCCCAGTGCAAAATCAAGGGGGCTGTACATGCAAGATCACTGAGCTACCTTGGGAGGGGACATCTTAGAGCTTCAAAAGGGCCTGACTCTTGGATCACTCCTCAAGTCTGCAAAGACAGCAGCCTCTGCTTTGACAAAGGAGGCTCTTGGCGTCTGGAACCCAAACAAACAAGCTTTATTTCACCAGTCATAAGCAAAAAAAAAATCGCTGGCCAATTTCAGATTTTCTGCCCTGCACTATTGACTCTGTGGAGCTCAATTTCCGCATGGCTCCAAGCTTGATTTGGAAATAACATTCTGATGCTCCACTTGGCAATACTCTGCTTTATAGACCCCATGTGGTCTCTGTCTAGGGCCCGAAGTTAATGCCCCTCCCCCCCACCCGCCCCAACTGGAGAATATTGCCCTGAGAGGCACTTTGATCTGGACACCATCAGGTCTGTCCATGGGACAGGTGGGTGCTTTGCTGAGGGCTCCTGCCCAGCTTCACTCTGGGTGGGCCTTCCCTGCCAGGGAGCAGGCCGGTTGCTTCTGGCATGATGTCTTTCACTGAAATGAGCTGTCCCATGATCTCTCTGCCTACACATTTCCCAATATCCCTGAGCCCAGGGGGAAAGCAGCAGAGACTCAAGTAGAACCAAGGGGCAAGAAGCCCACAGGCGGCTGGTTGTCCCTGTGGCCACATCTGTGATCATTACCTGAAGATGCAGGACAACAGAAGTAGGCGGGAAGGAGAGCTAGAGGAGACTCAGGCTGGAAAGGGGGATGGGACGAGGGCAGATAGAACACAGGTCGGAAAACAGGAAAACCTCTGAGGGCGCAGCAGCAGCGACGGGAACACACCAACACCTGGGCTCTCTTCCCTGTCTAGGAGGTCTCCCTGACTCCCTGCACCTACGCCCCAGGGGGAGGGCAGGGAGGACGGCGGACGGGAAGAGCCGACCAGGGAAGTAGATGCAGGGGCGCGGCAGCAGTCCAGGTGACGGGCTACCGTCGGAGACGTGGAAAGGCGACCGGCAGCCACGCTGTCTACACAGCCCTCCGTCCCCGTGGCAGCGTATCCGCGCTTGCCTAGCCCACGACAGACGAGCTGCTCGGCAAGTGTCCCTCAACTAGGACACAGAGAGTCCGGCTTCTCCTGTCCTGCCTGCCCGGCAAAGATGAGCGCAGCCCCCGCCGTGGCCTGGGCGGCCTGGGCGGCCTGGGCGGCGGCCCGAGCGCGCGCGTGCGCCCGCTGGTGCTGCGAGAGCGAGCGGCTGTGGCTGAAGCACTTGCCGCACTCGGCGCACCGCGCCGGCCGCTCGCCCAGGTGGGTCTTGCGGTGCAGCGCCAGCTTGGAGCCCACGCCGAAGGCCTTGCCGCACTCGGGGCACTTGTGCGGCTTGAGCCCCGCGTGGTTGCGCCGGTGCACGTTGAGGTTGGACACGCACGTGAAGCGTCGGCCGCACAGCTCACAGCCGTAGGGCTTCTCGCCCGTGTGCGTGCGCAGGTGCTTGGTGAGGTCGGAGCGGTCGCTGAAGCGGCGGCCGCACTCGGCGCACGGGAAGGGCCTCTCGCCCGTGTGAATGCGCTGGTGCACCACGAGGTCGGAGCGCTGCCCGAAGGCCTTGCCACACGTGGCGCACGCGTGCGGCCGCTCTCCCTGGTGGCTGCGCCGGTGGCGCAGCAGGGTGGAGCTTTCGCTGAAGCGGCGCCCACAGTCGCCGCACGCATAGGGCTTCTCCCCCGTGTGCGTCCGCTGATGGCGCACCAGCGTGGCGCTCTCCGGGAAGCCCTTTCCGCACTGCGGGCACTTGAAAGGCTTCTCGCCCGAGTGCGTCTGCAGGTGTCGCGTCAGCGTGGAGCTCTTGCCAAAGCTCTTCCCGCACACGCCGCACCGGTGTGTACCCGGAGCGCGGGGCTGAGCAGCCGTGGCGCCACCGGGGCTCCGGGCCGCGTGGACGCGTGCGGGGCTCCGCAGGCCTGCGTGGCTGCGGAAGGCCCGCGGGCACTGGGCGCAGCGGCGCGGCGGCTCGAGGGGCGGGAGGGGGGCCCCCCACCGGTGCGCCCGCGCCTGGTGGAAGCGCAGCGCGCTCTGACGGAAGGCGCGGGCGCACAGCGGGCAGCGGCGGGGCCGCTCGGGCGGGTGCCGGCGGCGGCGGTGAAGCAGCAGAGCCGACAGGTGTGGGAAGCTGCGGCCGCAGGCGCGGCAGGGGCAGGAGCGGCTGCGCGGCCTGTGCGCGCTCTGGTGCAGGTCAAGGCGGCCACTGTGGCGGAAGCTCTGGCCGCACTCGCTGCAGATGTAGAGCGTCTGGCCGGCGTGGGCGCGTCGGTGTGCGCGGAGGTCGGCGGCCAGGGCGTAGCGCTCGCCGCAGTCGAGGCAGCGGTAGCGGCTGTCGCCGCCGTGGGCGCGCTCGTGCCGCAGCAGCACCGAACTGTAGCGGAAGCTCTTGCCACACTCACTGCACACGTAAGGCCTTCCCGCCGCCGCCGCCGCCTCTGACGCGGCGAGCATGGTGAGGGCTAGGCCGGCGGGCGCTCGGGGTCCAGGCCGGGGTCTGCCGCCTCAAGCTGCGCGTTGCTCTCAGTTTCCCGAAGGCCTACCAAGGGAGTAGCAGAGGGAAGAGGGGGAGGCCTGGAAAACGGGTCTGCAGGTCCAGGTTCCTTCTTTTGTGGGGGGGCTCTGCAGCTTTTTCTGGAGTGGGCTGCAGCCAGGTTCACCCTGAGCCCTGAGCCCTACAGGGGGAAGGTCACCGTAAGCCACGGGAACAGCTGCAACAGCTACACCTTGGGGAATGGAGTGGCAAGCACAGGGTCCCTGTTTCTTGTAACCCCCAGCTAGGCCATCTCCGAGTCCATTCTCCAAGAGGAGGCAAAGCCATAAACTCCTAGAAATATTGGCGGGTGGGGGGTGGGTGGGGGTGGGGTGGTCCTCGTGCCACCAGGAAGGGCAGGAGGGATTCAGAGAGGGAGTTTGCTTCCAAAACTCTGCTTGGCAGGGGATGAGGAGTACCCAGCCTGTTTTCTGTCCTTAGATCAGAGGTCTTGGCCTGGAGATGCACTAGGCAACACCCAGGAGGGATGGGCAATGAGAAGGCCCCCCGGGCCTAAACCACATCAACACCTTCCTCTGAGGCCCTGGTTTCCTAAGTCCCCAACGTGAACCCAGCCAGATCTGAGCTGGAAGGACAAGGAGGGCAATGGGATGAAGCATAAACCTGAACAGAAGCAGCAGTCTGGGCAAAAGTCTCAGAAAGGGCTGGGGCCTGGGCAAGGGAGGGTTATCTAAGAGACCCCAAAGTATTGCACCTTGGCTTTGGACAGTACCTGATAATCACTCCGCACCAGTACACAGCCTCAAAGTTCCCCGGCCTAGCCTTGAGAAAGCAATTCAGGACCCAGGAAAGGGACAAAAAGGAACATGAACAATCCACAAAGAATAATATTAAAAGTTAATGGCATTATCCTAGAAGTGCTTTTCACATTTTCAGGAACCCTGCGGAGAAGGAAGAAGCATTCCTTCTTAATTCTCAGGTCATCCAAGTTCTTCGCAAATATTCTGCAGACTTTTCTCATTGCCCTATCTCCAGGGATCTGAGAACCCAGAGTAGTAGAGAAGCCCCTTTATGGGAATGGGATCTGATCTGCTATCCTCTTTATCTCAAATGTTATCCCTGAATCCTCTTGACAAGTTGGTCCAGGTAGCGGTCTGGGAGCAGGATCAGCCTTTCTGTATAGAACCTCCTGTGGGCCTCATCACTGAGTACTCTCCTCAAGGCTACTGGACTGGTCCCAGCTAAATTCAGTGGAGATTAGATATAGTTGCTAAGAGTTATAGGCTGTGTCACTCAACAGGTCAGGGAGAGGGAGCAAACGAAATGGTCAGCAGTAGTTTTCTTATTGGTATATGGAAACATCATAAATACCCAGAGCTCTGGTTAAAACACGCCATAAATGGGATCCATTGAAAAAAAGCCTTGAAAGCCACAAACCTTCAGGGGTGGGCTCTGGAGTTTTGCTCCTCTCCACACTGGGCAGGAGTGGCCAATACAGGATGTTCTCTTCTCATGCCTTTGGAGCAGGATGTTCTGTACCCTGCAGGGATGAAATGAGAGGGAAAACATGAATTTACATTGAGCAAAGGGGACAGAGGCAGGGAGAGAAAGAAGAGGGGACTATTTTCTGGAGGAGGGTATTGTTTTAATGGACATTTTCAAATATGAAAAACTAAAGAATAATATCACAAATCACTCCCTCATCTTTAGCATCTAGCTACATTTTGCTATTCTGTTTCATCTATCACACTCCTCTCCCACACACTTTCTCTTTCTCCTTTTTTTTTTTTTTTTGGTCTTCAGTATTTTAAATCCCAGACATCTCATTCACAGAGAATGAGTTTAAGCAAAAGCTGCAAGCAGGGGCAGGAGCCCCTCTGCAGACCTGAAAGCAGTCTTTAGAGAGAATCTCTCAGTTCTTCCAGAGGGAACTTTCAGCCCACATACTTGGCTGTCTATTCTGGGTTGTCAGTTCAAAAGAATGTTTGCTCTCATGTGAGTCAAACCTTCCCTCAGGACTCAATGTTTGATCCAAATGCCAAAGAGAGCAATGCACATGCTGGTGAGGGTTCCACCTCACGTGAGGGACTCCAGGGACCATGGCACCTCTCAGGCCAGGTTTCTGGGAACCCACCCCCTGCCTCCCAGGGCACAGGCCCAAGGAAGGTGAGACAAATGCACAAACACAAACATGCATACATAAATGGCATATAAGCAAAGATACAATTTCTCCCCATTACAGATGTGGTGACAGACCCTGATCTAGGGGGCAGGTTTGGTAACTGAGTGCCAGAGTACACCCCTCAAGTCTCTCTTCTGCACCTCACCCCATGCTGGAGTTTGCCCTGGAAGCATAGGGGTCTATGCCTGGGAAGAAATCTGAAAGAAAAAAAATAATAAAATATTACTGTAAAAAAAAAAAAAAGGAATAATTTCTAGACTATCCTAACCACTTTCCCAATTGAGAGTTTTCAAGTTGTATACTACCAAGTTCATTTTAAGTAAAAAAGTAAGTACAGGAGGAAAAAAAAAATAAGTACAGGAGGGCTTGGAAAGAGGGAAGGAGGTAATTATGTGTGAGTTGGTGAAAAGTCTTAATTGTTCAATACTTTAAAATATTTTAGAAAAAAATAGTACTTTTCAAGCATTTAATACTTACAAATATTTACAAATACTATATATGTAATTAAAAACAGGTACTAAGTAAGATAAGCTAATGAAAAATTAACATTCATAATTGATAAACTATAAAAATAAACTTCTGAGTTTTATATATCACTTTATTTTTGTTTCTTAATAAAGAGATTGCAGGTATTTCATACCACATCTAACCATATCTAACATATTACAGATCAAGAGTATGGTAATTGATCAGGATTTAGTACATCAACAATCTATCATGAGAGCAGTTTAGTTCTTTTTCTTTTTTTTTAATTAAAAAAATTATTTATTTATTTATTTGAGAGAGAGAGAGAGAGAGAGAGAGAGAGAAACAGCATGAGAGGGGATAGGGTCAGAGGGAGAAGCAGGCTCCCCGCCGAGCCGGGAGCCCGATGCGGGACTCGATCCTAGGACCCCGGGATCATGACCTGAGCCGAAGGCAGTCGCTTAACCAACTGAGCCACCCAGGCGCCCCCCCTTTTTTTTTTTTTCAAGGTGTCAGTGTAATTTTACAGTTTACATCAACTTTGGATTCAGCTAATACACGCCATCACATCATTGACCTCTTTTTCTTCTGAGTTGTGTCCTTCAGTTAGTACAAAGATTTTCTTCCCTGGTTATCTGTTCTGCCAGGCCAGTACTTCTGGGGCAGGATGAAGAGACAAGTGATCATCGTGCAATTCCTCCATCGTGAAGCCACAGCTGGGTGAAAGTGGTGCAGGAGTGGGGCTGAGGGCTGTCCCAGATGCACTGTGCACGACAGTGGCCCTGAGGCATACGTGACTGAGCACTTGACATGTGGCTGGTCCAAACTGAGGTATGCTGGAAGGGTCAAATACACTCCTAATTTCAAAGATTTAGTACGAAGAAAAGAACGCAAAACATCTCATTAATAATGTTTAATGTTGATTATATGTTGAAATGGTAGTATTTTGGATATATTGCGTTAAATGAAATGTATTATTCAAATTAATTGCCTACTTTGGGGCCTTTCCATTTATAGTTCCACCTGTAAAGTCCCTTCCCCTCTTCTTTCGGGGCTCTGCTCCAGTAACCCCCTCCTCAGAGAAGCTCTGCTGAGCACCTTCCCACTCCACAGCCCCATCCCCTTACTTGGCTTTATTCTGAATAATCAATGAAAGTAACAGGGAATAGTAGTCCCATCCATTCTAGGAAGGCTTCAGCCCCTTTTCTAGGTAAGGATGGAGTGTGGAATCTAGAACACCAGAATGGCTACTCCTGACCTAACAGAAACAAGATCCAGTACTTCAAAAGAAGTTGCCCGTTTGAGCTTCAGAGCTAGGCTGGCATGTGTAAAGAACTGCTGGAAATAGGAATGACAGCTGCTTTCCATCCCAGATGCCCAAGCCTGATCATGATCCAAGTACACTCTTTTGGAAGTTTCGCCTTCACAAAGATTTTACTGTGAACTGGGAAGTGTGGAGAAGATAGGGATGTTGGCAGGGAGAGAACATATGTAGTAGGATAGTTTATTTTCTATGTTCCTTTGACACGTGGGCAAAACTGCAACCCAAAGGGGGCAGAGCACCCCAGAACTGGGATGTGGGAAGGGACAACACATGGTGCTTTGCACCTTCCCTGGGCCTAGCAAGACGTTGGGCACACAGAGGGCACTCAATGCTTTTTAAAAATGATGTATTAATCTGGAATACAATTCTTTCAAATGTTAGGTTACTGGAGGAGGAGGCCTCTCTCCAGTCATCTTATCCTCCATAGCTCTATCTACTGCATATACTGCAAATACTCTGCTTTGGCTTATTGAAATGGAACTGTAACATCCGCACGGGAAGCACGGAGGCAAGTGTCCAAATTCTGGTTCTTCCATTACTAGCTGTGTGACCTTGGACAGGGGACGTCAGGTATCTGGCACTCCTGCCTGGGAAAACTCAGTAAAGGAAGCTATTACGACGTTTCATATGAAAAGAAGGTTAGAATATGTGTAAGTCTGAGAACTGTGGTTGCTGAGTCTAGGTTTTACCCTCTTCAGGACAGTTCCTCTGAAGAGGGATCCCGAATACAGGGTCTGACTCCTACTCTACCTTAAGGATCCTAAACGTTCTGCAAATTTTTTAAGTCCTTCCCCGACCCCCAAAGAACCCTTCTTCACATGATGAGAGCAGCGTGGGCATTCTGTAGCCCCACGCCACACCCCGGGAGCTCTCGGAGTAATCAGGGAGCCTGGTTACTCGGTTTAAGGCTCGTTACCTGGTACTGAACGGGAAAGGGCGCACACCTGAGTAGGTCGCAGCGCAGCCAATCCCGGGCGCCTCAGCCAACTGTCGTCACGAGTTGCTAGGCAGATTCTCCTTGGGCGCAACTTCCCACCCGCGGTCCCACCCCAGCTCCTCGCCCTTGGCGCCCGCACACCAAAAACGTAGTGAGCAGTCGGGGGCGATTAACGCCACGGAGCCCGACACCGCCCTTTTTAAGCCGTCTTAGCCTGGCGATGTCTGCGTCGTGGGGCCGCCGGCCCCGAAGGTCACCGGGGGAAGCCGGGGGAGGACAGGCAGCGGGCAAGGCCCGGGAGGAGCAGGCCGCCCGGCGGCCGCGAGCGTGACCGACCAATCGCACGTCCCGCCGTGCCTCCGCGTCACTTGTCGCCGGGGCGGCGCTCCCGACAGCCGCAGACGCTAGCCGCCAGGAGCGGAGGGGAGAAGGCGGGCGACAGTTGGGGACCGCCGCCCCGCGCCAACCCTGCCCTCCCAGCCCTCAGTCCCCTCACCGGTCGCCGACTGGCTCCTTGTACGCCACGCGGTTCCCACTCGGCTGGCTCGCCGACCCCCGCCTCCGGACTTCGGGACTAGGGCGTTGAAGGGAGGAAGGGGCTGGCGGAGCGCGCGGCCGCCGAGTGGGGGGAGCTGGGAGGCGCCTCGGGGTAGGGAGCCCCGCTCCAGGCCCGCTCTCCGCGGCTGGCCAGTGGTCGGCCTCGTGCAGGCCGCGTCACCGGTTGCTGGGATGACCAGACGGCGTAGTAACGGCCCCGCCTGTTCAGCGCCGCCAGCCCCCGCCCGAGACGCGGCAAGGGGGCAGGGCCACCACTGGGAGCCAAAGCCCGCCTCCCTCCCGGACGAGGCCCCGCCTTCTTCCCGTGCTTCACCCGTCTCTGCCTTCCCTTTTGTCCGCCGCCCGCCCCCGGCCGGTCCCGCCCAATCAGGGGAAAGGGCGCTGCGCTCGGTCGCAGGCTGCTGTGGCGGAGTTCCGCGTGCCCAGTGGTCTCCCCGCTGCTCGCGCGCGCCCGCGGGGACGCGGACGCGAGTTCTCGCCGCCGCTGCTGCTGCCGCCGCCTCCCGGCTAACGGGTTCCTGGCGTGGAGCGACCGCGGGGGCCGCCCTCCCCAGTCGTCCCAGTAGTAAGTCACTGAGGCCACGCTTGGGGCCCGGCACCGCGCTTAATCCTCCCCACAGCTCTGCCACGGAGGTTCTCGCAAATTCATGACCCGCGCAAGGGCGCACTGCCAGGGTTGGGGATGCTCCTGGTCTGCTTTCCAGCCGCCTCTTCAGGAGCTGCTAGGCAGAGCTCCTTGTCCAAGTGTTGAGGCTTCGGTGTGTTCCACCGAGAGGTGGAAGTGCAGCTGGGAGCGTAACAGCCCCTTCTTCAAGGCTGCGGATCATCCAGAACAGACTCTCCAGGATGGCTCTCGGGATCCTTCTTTACCTGCTCTGATCTTCCTCTGGAGAACACTGAGTACCGCTCATCCTGCTACACATCCAGAGCTTCTGTCCCTCTGCTCTGCTCAGGAGCCCCCTTGAATCACTGTGCGTTTAGACTCCTCATGCCCTAGCCCCTGGTTCAGCCTGGAATGCTCTTCTGCGTTTAATTCCAACCATTTTTAAAAGTTTAGTCAAATGGGCGCCTGGGTGGCTCAGTTGGTTAAGCGACTGCCTTCGGCTCAGGTCATGATCCTGGAGTCCCGGGATCGAGTCCCACGTCGGGCTCCCTGCTCGGCGGGGGGTCTGCTTCTCCCTCTGACCCTCCTCCCTCTCGTGCTCTCTGTCTCTCATTCTCTCTCTCTCAAATAAATAAATAAAAAATCTTTAAAAAAAAAAGTTTAGTCAAATGCTGTCTCCATTAACCTATATGCTGGAATGCCGCTTTCCACCCTCAGTCGTGGGTGTGCATCCATGCACGCAACCTCTACGTGTTGGCATAGTCCGATGACGGCTGCCACCTCTGTAGTAAAAGGACAGGCCTTGTCTTACTCGGAAGCGAAGCCCTGCACATCACAGGTGCTCAATGAGTGTTTGCTGACTCACACGTGACGGTATTGTGTAAGGAGTGCAGGGATGGCAGCCGCCGGCAAGGAAGCAAAAAACGGACACAGGATGCAGGCCTGGGGTTGATGAGGGCCTGAACCAGGAAGGGATGGAGGTGGGAGAAGTAGAAAAGGAAAATGTGCTTGCTGCAAAGTGCCGTATGCAGATAAGGTAATGTTATGCAGAAGGTGACTAGTTAAGAATGATTACAAAGCCTTTCAGGCCTGAGAAACGGATTAATTAGGACATTTCTGGACTCACTGTTCAGTACGGATGACATGTGTTTACGGGACACTGACACACACAGTTGGCCAATTTCGAGGAGTGACTAGGATAGTGATAAATACATTACATAATCGAAGGGGCTGGGGATATTTAACCTGCAAAGGAGAAACATGTTCATGACAATGACGATCCTGGAGTCCCAGGATCGAGTCCCGCATC